GAGAGAGAGAGAGAGAGAGAGAGAGAGTTTCGCGCGCGCAAATGTGTGCAACATCGGTTTTATACATCTCGGCATGAATCCGCGCAAATGAGGAGCCGAACGATGTTGTAACTATTCTGGGTATGCAAACGTATGAGGTTATTTAATTTTTGCTCACTTAATTCGCGAAATGATTCCGTACCTTTATTTACGATGGGAGTTGCGGAGAAATCGTGCGTTAAGGATTAAAGTGTTTCAGAAAGGGATGAGCTTACGGCGATGAGCGTGTTAGAAATCTGTATAACGGATCTCAACACCGTAATTGCGTAATTCTTTATGATTCTGTAACTACGCTATGATTTTTCAAAACATTCGTCACTGCAAATTGCTGTAAACAGATGCGAATTGCATTCGCGCGATATGAATAAATGTACGCACACTTAGTTTATTTAGCAGGCATTGCGGATTTCTTTGAAAATCTAAACGGAGATAAAACTGTTCGAAAGGAATTTATATTGCGATTATTAAAGTATATCGTGACGAGAGTTTGCAATACAGTGCATATTTAGGAAAAATGGGAATTAGCGCAGCTATTTAAAAATTTTATTCAAGAAATCAAACACACTGATTTTCTTCTGTTCTACGTAATTAGCAAAATGTACATATAATATTTATGATAAAACATATTTATGAATTCTAAACTTTTAGGAATACGCAGTTGCAAACTCTAAGATCTAAATTTTATCAGTCCAATTTTACTTGCGATAATTCGATTTTTCTATTAATATATATTTTTACGTTAAAACTAATAGAGCCGTGCGAATAATCTTTTTCGGAGCACTAAAAAGCGAAATTTTTCAAAACTTAATCCTACAAGTTGACGACTGCAAGGCAACTGTCTCTTCTTGTGATTTCTTTACAAGTCTTTAAAGACACTTTGTTATTTAGTTTACTATCAACATTGGTCTACATTTACAAAGAATCCTACATCTTTCTTATAACAAACTATTATATTGTGACCTTCTTAAACACTTTCGTCAACGTCTAATTCAATGCCTACGTGACTTGTGAAGATAAAGATTTTTTTTTTATAATAATGGGCGTAAAAATGCCTCAAGAAATATATATTCCGTATATAAAATAAATTGTATTTTAGAGATTTCCACATGTATTTTAGTGTAACACTTGACGATATAAATATCATGTATTCCTGTGATTTTATTTGACGGCTTTATTAGTCATATCGGAGTAGTATGTACTTTGAGAAATCTATTTTTTATCGTCACAACAACCGAGTATCGATACCATATTTGCATGATAAAGCCGACTATGAGGCAAGCAGGGACGAGATCGAACACCCACGCCTTTATACAGATGGCGGCAAACATTCTGTACGACCAAATCAATGCGGAGATTCGATACCTCGTTTTATCGAACCACCAAGTCGCACGGACTCGCGACAAGACAAACTGTATTGATAAATCTCCAACAAAGAATTTAATATTATGGCCTTTAGATTGTCAATATGCGATGATTTTCTCCTACAAAATAACAGGCTACCTCTCGGGCGCTGCACGGCATGGATTGTAATCGGTACCGAAAGATTCGGTTGATAACCGATCAAACAAATGATACACAATTCGCAGTTTATGAAACACGGTACTCAATTGTCTCTTCTTTAAATCAATGGCAATATTTAGAAATGTCTTTGTGGATTTGCATTGGTTTGGGTGAAGTGGATTTTCACAGTGAAATGTGATGAAAATAATTTCAGACTACTATTGATTTAGGATTGCTTCGTCCAAAAGTGTCTAAAAATTAGCCTGGTGAAATAGTGAAGTGTCACGATTTCAAAGTATTGGTTTAGGATCGCTTCGTTTAGGAATATTCCATTAGTCCGGTGAATTATCAAACGAGATATTTAAGAGCCGCAGGATAAAACGATCGCATACAAATCTCAGGGAAGAGGGGTCTTCCAAAATATCCCTTGGAATCTTGTCTTAATGTTAAGGTACATGCTGGTCGTGCTGGTCGTGAGATAAGTTAAAACTCTACGTTTTCGTTACTAATGCCGCATTGTCTCTCTATAAGACGTTTTCGCCTAAGAAGGGCTTACAATATAAGATAAAATCGTAAACCTGTTTCTCGCCCGCTCTCTAATACATTACAAACGCTTAACAAATTTTACATCTGAGGTTATGCGTGTGTACGTGCTCTTGCTTGCTTGTTTGTGTGGAACTATGTGTTACTTATCTACACTAAAAGCAACAAAATATACCTGAAAGAGATTGAAGCTAAATCGTGATGCGCAATCAGATGCGAAACAGACAAGAGTCAAAACAGGTAGCAGTTCAGAAGAATGCTCGAAAGACCTCTTAGAGGACAATTTTTCGACCATTTTTCCAAGAATGTCCGTAGCCGCCTCGAGAGACGTAGAAATAATCCTTTAAAGTTTCGAATGCCCTTTTCAGCAAATAAGAACTTGATATGTATTGGACGAATTTATTATATTGTCTTATGGCATTATGTAATATTTATATACTTGTCGATGAGTCATGCACTGCTTGTTCCTTTTTAATATACTTTTATAAATTCAATATCAATGAACTGCTCAGAGTCGACGGGATATTAAGTTATCTTTCAAAAGGAGCTAACTTTGTTTTCTCCCTTTTATAAAAATAAAGTTTAGCATTTTATCACACGTGACAATGTTATATAAGGTCAGCATGAAATAAAATGAAGGTATACAATTAGATTCTCGATGGAATAAAATTATGTAATAACATGATCGTCATTGAATTATCCGTAATCATCGAAAGTTCACGTTCCGAAGGGAAAGGAAGAAGGAAAAACACGTAAGAAAATAGCGAGTATGAATGACAGATTGAACGAATGTGCGCGAAAAGAATAAGAAATGGAGAAAGAAAGTGACACGGAGAACGCATGGGACGAAGGAAGAAGGTGGAAGCAACGAAGAAGATGAGCGTAGGTCGATGGATCGAATGTAGAAGGAGAGGAAAGAGCTGGAAGAGCGAAAAGAGACGGCAAGAGGGCGGACGGACAGGGAGGGAGGGTGAGACGGGTAGGGGGACCAGAAAAAATCCGGGGATTTACGCGGAAAGGGCAAAATATTCCCCGCCCAGGCTTCATTCAGCCTCCGATTACGGGGTGGCTTTGGGTGAAAAGCACGCGCTCCCATTGGCCGAGGGGCTAATATGGCGGTGTTAGGGGTTGCAAGGTGGGGCTGGTGTACGCGATATTAAGGGCTGCTTTCATGTCCGACGAGCCAGTGCGTGGTGCGCCGTCGATTGACGCATTTTCCGTCGAGAAGGTGGAGAACGAGGTTCGGCATCCTCCTGTCTCTCCTCATTCCCTATCTTTCTTTCGTTTGCACGTTTCCTTTCGCGTACCTTCTTCCGCCTGGACCGCACTCGACGGAGGCACATGCGACTCGGCGGCAGATTCAATTTGCGCGCGTGCCACCCGGGACGAGAGAATCTATGATTTGCCAGTGATTTGCGTGGGTCAAGGACTGCCATTTCGTATTGCGATTTATTTACGAATCGCCGGAGTTTACGCCAGTGATTTCCGTAGACGTACGGCTACCGCTTCTCTAGATATGGCCCAGACTTATAATCAGAAGAGGAATGTATACAGCATCGATCAGATATTGGGTCACGCCAAAGATGAAGGTACGGACAAGGTGTCTTCCTCTCTTCTTTTCGAGAAATGCACGCACGTTATTTGTATGAGTGGACTTGGAGCGTTTAAAGTTTCTCTGTGCTTTGTATTGACTCTAAAATATAATTTTTTAATTCAAAAACTATTTTTTATACTAATAAAACAACGCGTAAATGAGAGAGCAAGCAAGAATACGCGTATTATTTTATTTCGATTACACTTACAAATTAAAGTGTTGAAATTCTAATTGAAAATATATTTAATATATTTTATTACGTTACTGTAATGAAATAATTGTAATGAAATTTTAAGGAACGAAAACTATATTTGTTAACTCAGGTGAAATGTAAATACAACTGCAATGTAGTCCTAATTTCTTTTTCTCTGACAAAGAATCAGAGTAGAATATGCAAATGTTTCGTTTTTAATCATTGCTATATAATATCTTCTTTTCATATAATATCTAATATCCGAGGAGGTGGAGAACGATAATATATCCCTTAACATAATATCTTCTCAATCGTAGCTGTTTAGAATTGTTAAATTATTTTATTCTTTATCGCACCTCATTGTTTATTATTTCGCATTGTATAAAATATCGTTCGCTTACATGGCAACAGTAAGATCTCAAAGACGAGAAATTTGTCATTTATTGTTTAACTGCAATGATTTAATTTAATTTATTTTATTCTTTTGGCGTATCGTTTTCATCGTACCGTTATATAAATTTTTAATACATTTACAAATATTTTTTTGACTGTTCATTAATCGATCGTGTATATTCTAATTGGAAGTTACAGCGCGTTTAATATGATAACACACTCACGCCTATTTTCACCGAAATCATCGCAATGACTAAAGATCGATAACTTCACTCGCTCTACTTGACTCGAACAGGGAAGTTTGTTACAGATTTTATTATCTCCATACTTGAGGACACGCTCTTTTGTCCACCGTAATAAAGTAGGCTATCTAAAGGTGGATAACACTGATCGAATAGATTATGAATAAGTAGGGAATATAGACTTTTATTTATTCAAGTTCAGTAAATGTTTTATATCATGTAAAATGAAAACAGGCTACTCAACAATTTTCAATTCGAGATGGAAATTATCAAGGAAAGTTTTAAGTGAAATTCTAACATTCCTTTCGTTACTCATTTACTTGTTTTCATATACATTTTAAGATAAACTACGTTGTCGGTAAAATGCGATTTATTACTTGATAAGACGTTTATTATATGGTAATTATCCATATGGCAATCAGCCAGTTATCGAAGTCACTAAAGATGGCCTTATTTTGATATCTGTGGATTGCGTGGTGAATAGTCTTAAAAAGAATCTTAAAGGTGTATTTTATTACAGGTTTATTCCTTCTTCAAACGTATACGAATTAAAGAAATTAAGAAACTAAAATATAAATGATATAAAACTGAGTGTTTACAACTCAAACGAAATAAATATAAGAATAAATTAGAATAAATATATTTCTGTATATTTATTGTAATTTGTAATTTTTGATCTTCGCTGTCAGGGATTGTTCGTTTTAGTTTCAAAGATGAAAAGGCAATACAAATGTAAAGAGAATTCTAAGATTATTATTATTTTTCTATAAGTTTACTGTTTTTAACAGATAATAATTTAAACCAATATGCAAATAATGAATAAAAAAAGAGTACATTTATCTTAATCTCAAAAGAGTTGAGAAATTCAACTTGAATTGTAGATTGAAAGAATTGCAAACTTTGGCGCGATAAAGGGGAGATACAAATCTCATAGAATACGCCGTTAACCTTAAGATTGTACGATTAAAGGCAACGTAACGTAATTAGGTCGTCGCGGGTTACAGAATCTGTGGCGACGATCGGTGTAACGAATTTACTACACGGTGTTGCGACACGCGAGTGCATGCGCGTGATTAGGTTGCGAAGAGGCGCACGAACGGCGGATTGTTTCGATGCATTCACTTTTGCGGAATCGTCATGGCGTGATAAATCGTGTTATCAAGTTTAAAGAACTACATTGTTACGTGTACTGGCTGAGCTTACAACCGTGGCTCATAGGCAAATAAAACAATGCGGCTACCCCCACGTTTTTATTAAATGCACGAACACTCTTTCGCCTTTTATTGCTCAATGTAAGTCACTTTTTTATATGATCATAGTCTTAATAGGAGATCGGTAATTTATGTTATAAACTATTGAACGTATGATTTCTCGCTATTAAGCTTCAAAAGAGAAATAAAAAATATAATTATTTTAATATGTTAATTACATATGTAATTTTGAGCAGATTTTAATTACAGAAGATTTTATTTAATAAGATAAAATTATATAATTTAATGATCAGTTTAGAAGATATTTGAGATTAAACGATTGTAATAAATAATGTTCTCTCTGATATTTTTGTAAGAAAAAAATAGTTGACTTGAAAAAGGTTACAGAATGCATAGCGAAAGAGTTCTCATTAGGTTTGTTACACGTGTAACTTACGCGAGTGTATCGTTCAAGCGTGTCCTGATTTTTAGATTGTAATAATTGCAATAATCGAGAACGGTAACATTGTTTTCAATATTACAATTTAAAACGATCGGCTCGATGATGGCTTTTATCTTGGATTTTCCATTCTTTATGAAGGATATATTTTACTGATTGATTTACTTAGTTTTTTATTTATACGCGATCAGTGATAACTGTTGTAATGCGAATTTACGGCACGAGGTTACGACACGCAAACACCGCGTATATATACTCGACTGTCTCTTTGTGCGGTGTACAAATATAGAAATGCTACATGTGGCGTGCAAGCACGAAATAATCGTACGAACAATGTTCTGGATATTATAATAAATGCATAAATTACTAGAAGTGCAATTTATGTATACCTGCAATGTTTGTGCATTCTCAGACCAACCGTTTTATTTATCCATTACGACTCATTGTCAGTTCTAAAAATATTACAGTACAATTGATGTATATATATTTGCCATAATAATTGTCGATATTTTGTGCCTGTGGCTATTTTATTGTTGTATCATTGTTTTATTACCATTATACGCTCAAAGAGAAAAAAAGGTGGGAATGGATATGCAATCTGGATATATAATTTATTTTATGTAAAGTTAAAATGTTCGGCAGGTTTGTAATAATTTTTTGGGATGCCAGCGAGAGCGGACACTTAATTGCACAAATTATTAAATCGGATTATGAAATAGCGAGATCGCGTCTTTATTTGAGTCGACAGATAATATTACCAGATACCAATAATCTAACATATATATTTTATATTATCTATACTTTTCATTTAAAAATCAATGTACACGCGTAATATTTAAACAATGACACGTCCATTTATTCGCATCACTCTGGTATATACAAACCAAATATCTTCTCTCTGAACTTATGCGTGCTTTATGTATTTTTATATGGGAATCCTAAGGGGCTTGTAATTTATAAATTTTCATAAACGCGCGTTTTACAATATTTTTTTTGAAAACATTGGTCTCGTCGCGTTTTATCCCGGAACACTCGTGGCCGGCGTATTAACGTAAGTCCTTTTAAGGACTTTATTAGATTTTCAGCGTAAAGTCCTCGGCTACTTATAATCCGCTCCTGTCTCACGAAAGTATATTTCGTCGACTGAACGGATCGCAAATCCCTTTTAACGCTTAACGCTTAGGCGCATAATCCTCATAGACGCATAGGCGCATAGGCGCACGGGCTTTCTATCGGGAACAATCATTCCGAACCGGTCTGGCCGTACAAAAACATTTCCATTATTCCCTAATTACTATGAAAACAAAACAGATTTACCTGGCTTATACTTACCCGATTGGTAGGCTACCTATCTAGTAAGATTTCGGTTTTTGTTTTTTAATTTTTACAGTCGAAGAAAAGAAATAAGCAACATGCCGGAGCTTTTAACTATGCCAACACCTCGAGTAAATTCTAGCGTGGCAATGATAAATTCTGCGCGTTTCTCGATATTCTGATGGTATACTAACATTTCTAAATTCTCGCTACATATGTGAATGAGAAGTAAACAATTTTCGTATATTACATCCGTTACATATGATAATGAGTTTTTTTTCGCAAAGGAGTTTCGCTGTACTTTAAAATTTCCGCGTATGTAATAACATAATGGGTACTTAAGATCCGCTTACGAATGCGATACTATAGGAATAACACTCTGAGATAATGCAATTCTCTAGGAAAGAGCTCATATTGTCGAGAAAGTTCAAAGAGCCGTGTAATAACGTAAATTGCTGCGATTCCCCCTAATCATTTCTATACAATTATGCAGGGCGCGTTTTCATCGATGACTTCGTGACTGCGGGCGGTTCCTTTGGCGCCTGACGACGTAATGATTCGCGACATGTGCCCGATCGGCACGGTAAATAAATTTTTAATTTCGCTCTGCGAGAGTCCCACCCTCCCCGGGCATCCCCCTACCCTGCCCCAGTCGCCTGGTCCACATCAGGCGTCGGCGCACCGTAGATTTAATAAAAAGCAGTGGAGAGCTAAGCATCAAGTGGGTACTCCATTGTGCCCCAGCATAAAAACATTGAAATCTCTCTATTCAGCTTGGATTAGTACGACGATGCCTCTCTCTACGCGTATGTGTGCGCGCGCGTGAGCACATGCGTGCGGGGGCACGCGCGTGCACGCACACGCGTGCATCCGTGCGCCGCCGGCGGCGTGCATACGTTTTCGATCGTATCTCGGTTCATCCTATCACAACTGCTGGCTATGTATCGACACCGAAAAGTAGGATTAGCATTATTACGCATGAGTAGTAAATGCTTGTCTAATTAGTCCGAGCGGAGATGCGTAAAAGGATGTACGTGCATGTTGCGTAGGGGTGGATATTCGTAAACCTTTTCGTACAACCTTACGCGTCGCCGATTGAATTTTGTTAAATCGAAGCGCTCGGCGGGGTAGAAATTGGGCTTACGAGGAGCCGAAGGAAAAAAAGACCGGAGTACCTGGCGCATGCAATTCTCGATATGATTAATTTGACCATTTGTTTTTGGATATTTAAATATCTGAAATAAACGGCCCGCGTTCGGGAAGTTCCGGAATATTCTCATTATTACGAGATGGAAATAATATATTTTTAGCGGTTAAAACAATATGTTAAGGTCCGTACGCAAGCCTATTATTTTTTTGTACTGCACAAATAAAATGTTTGCCAAGTTGATTAACATGTTCGTAGCCAACTAATTTATGATAAAAATGAATCGGAATTCCGTTTAACATTTAGGGCCGGTTTTTCCAACCTCCTGGTAACCAATAGTTAAATTGTCTGGTCCATCTTTGTCTAGTCTGAGGGAAAAAACAAAGACATATAATATACACGAATTAACTATTAGTTAACTTACCAAGAGGTTGGCACAATCGACCCATAATGCGATAGATTTTATTTATTAAATAGGGTACTATGTTTCGAAGATGTGGCACAGCGTAACGTGAAGTGATTTCGAGGGAAACGTTTACGAAGCAGATTATAATTTAATGTGAATTTAGTCGGGGTATGTGCACGTAAGCGGATGTAGACGAAGTTGTAGCTTTGTAGTTGCCGCTTCGGTCTCAGATCGTTATCCAATTATAATAGGTATATTAATCTAAAGCGCTATATGTAGTTAGCTAATTAATAACTAGCCTAGTTCGCGGTAGTAATGAGGGCGCAATCCATGTCGGTTTCATCAATAGATCAGCGAATGCCGAGTCGTTTACACGACGGGAACTTAACGGTGTTCTATTTGCGCGAAACGTAACGGCTGCGCGAGGTAAAATAGAAATAAATCGGAAGATTTTTCTCGCTACTGACGGATCTTGTTAACGATTTTTTTATTATTTTCTTTTTAAGGAGAAAGACGCGCCGGCGTCGCGCCGCTCCGAATTCTCCGCACAAAAGTTTGACCGCGTGAAAAGCGCCTCGATATTTTGCAAAGGACCTACAGAAAGCCGCTTCCCGCAAAAGGCGAGGAAGTCGGAGAAGAATCGTATCGTTCTCAAGATTATACCGACACAAAGGAGAGTTCAAAGGGGAATAATAAATCACGCGGCAATTTGTTACGCGCGCGCGCGCGTGTATGTATATACAATATATCGCTTCTTACAAGCGTCAAAGAGGTAACAAGGTTTATCGCGACGCTCGATTTTTACCGCCCGTATGGATTTTCCCGTGACATTACCGCGATGCATTTTTACAGGGAATCCATGAGATATTTCTGCTACTTTTCGCTCGGCGATACCTCCGCGATATATCTCGTTAAGCGCATGGCGCGATGGCTCGTTTCCCTGCGAGCTCCATTTTTAAAACTCGTTACGGTGAATTTATTTTTAACACCGTCAAGTGCCTTTCAAAATTATATGCAGATCAACCGATTTGTTATTATCTGGGCGTTCATGCAATATCAAGCGCATTGCACGAACGTTTTTCGAATATTTTTGCGCGTATCGATTCGACCGTTGTAGAGTTGCAAGTTTTACGGCAAAGTCATTGAAATAATCGTCGTCGTCAATTATCTAAATTTTTGCAAATACGAGAGCCGGAATGCGAATAAAAGCTTCACAAATATACGCAAATAAATTAATCGCCTTGGACAAAACCTGCGCGGAGATTCTACTGTTTCGTCATGGACTTCGCGAGCCTATCTTTTATTCGCGATTAAAATTAATATACCGCGCGATTTGGCTTCTCACCTGAAACGAATCGAACAATCTGTGTGTATATCTGACTACTGTGTCTACGTGTAGTTTACTTTAATGGGGCTTTAAGCCCTCGTTGATATTCGCGCAAAGACAGAACGGGTGATCATGGTAGGAAATATGACTGGGGTACGAGGCGGTCGCGATCGCAGAAAGCCGGGAAGGGTATACGTTGCACGGGGGTGGTGCAAGGCTCGCTGCTGTATCGCGAAAGAGGGAGATAGAGGGAGAGGAGAAGGAGGAGGAAGGGTGTGGGCAGTATGCACTCGTGATATTTGCTAATCACTGACAGCGACGGCTTTTAAGTACTGTCGAGCACATACGTATAATGTGCGCACTTACATTTGTAGGGTATTTCGCGGGCGTGTACACGCGGGCAGATGTATGGAGCGGTGCAAAAAAAAAAGAGAATGAAGCGCCGGGTGAGGCTTAAAAATTGGCAAATCCGCCGATCGGACGTCATCGGCGTATCGGTTATATCGGTACCGGTCGTTGTGCGGCTTAAAAATGAAATTGCGCCCGTATCTCCCCGCCGCTGCCACCGCCGCCAGAGTTGGCATATCAGGCAAAACGACAATTTCGTTTTGGCAACGCGAGCGATATGGCTTAATCGCCTCCCGATCGCTTGCCGCGCTCAAGTATCGGACGTACCGTTTGACGTATACGCCCGTTTAACAGGCGAGGATGCGCCAAATAAATTTCGAGGATTACAAATTCTCGCGTCTTACGGAGCGGAAAAACTTCTTCTCGACTAGGCTGTGCAAATCCTCCCGTTTGATTTCTCACGTCACATTACAGCGCGCGCCACGCTTGGCGCGCGCGCCTGTGTGACATAAGAATGATGCAGGTTCTAAAAACTTTGTGCGAAATAATAATCGCACAAGGGTGCGGGGGTGGGGGAGGATTTATTTGGCGCAGCCCTTTATTGTTTGTTTAAGATGATTAGATAATAAATATTCCGCGTCGAAATGTTGCGTTGGGTGAAATTCCTTGAGAAAGCCGCGACGAGATGAGGACAGGCGTGAAACATGATTGGAAGTTGCGTATTACTGATTTCAGACCACGCGACGTCGTCTGACGCTGTGGTCGACGGTGGCGATACAGAGCTCGGTCATCTGAGCGATCATCAGATCAACGACTCGCTGCACGATCCCTTGAATCTGGGCGAATCCGACCGGCCACGCAAGGTGCGAAGATCGCGCACCACTTTCACGACCTATCAGCTGCACGAGCTCGAGAAGGCCTTCGGGAACACGCAGTACCCGGACGTGTTCACCAGGGAGGAGCTGGCGATGAGGCTGGACCTTTCGGAGGCCAGAGTACAGGTGCTTTTCACGAACGATTCAATCATTGCAGAAAGGACGTATGCCCACGAGAGGAAAAGTATTGCGGAAATAAGGAAAATTCTTGCAAATGTTTAGATAGGCAGGTAGGAATATAAAGTAAGCTAGACACTTTTGAGGCACGTCGGCTCTTAATTCGAGAAAAGAAAGCTACGAGGACGCGAGATACGCGGGACAGTTATAGGGGGAGGGGGGTGGTTTGTTAGCGATCTACACACAAATATTTAAAATCTACATAATTCTTTTCTATATTTCGGGAATAAAATACAAGAGGTATAAATAAAACAGACGTAGGAAATTTAAATGTTTAATATCATAGCTCAAAAGGAGACAACGAGTGTCTCTCGCGTGTCCACTGCCTTTTCCATTATTAAATACCGTGTTTCATAAAAATAAAATATATAGCCGCGACACTCTCGGCTATCATGTACTTCCAAAAGATTAGCTTACGCCCTGTTCGCAATGACCGATTCAAATATTCCACAAATGCGGCATGAAGCGGACGAGGGAAAGAAGTCCGGCCAGATTTTGCCAGACAGTTGCAGAAGTATAATTAACCTTTCGTCGCTTTGACTGGACGAATTCACAAAGCCCGAGAGGCACGCGAGTGTCGCTGAGTTTCGCGCATTTGATAGTGGCAAGTTTCGTAAGTAGTTTTAATGACGAGTTTTAGATTCGGTCAGCGGGATGAAATTTAAAAGGCTAACTCGGAGCTCGCGCGTAATTTTGACGTTAAATATGGAGATTATTAAAAGAATTCGAGGCAATAATGCGATAAGCCGTGTAAGCAAAAAATGCCGTATTATAATAACGTTCATAACACATTTGAATAGCTATTATGATACTTTGCTATTCATAATTATAGATTTAAATTTATTTTATAATTCACAAAGAATTAATTTTTTACCATTTTCCTTCGTCCCGACAAAATGGTTCTATGGTATCGTACGGCGATTAATGCACAATAGCGTAAACTGATTTTCACGTGCAATTTTCACGAGGATCGATTTATACGTAGATTTTGCGAAGTTTGAGGAACATGGAGCATCCTCGAGCGCTCGCGGGATTGCGCTCTGGCGACTCAGCCTCAAGGCGCAAGTCACTTAACTAATTAGAGACTATTGTATCGCAAAATTTCGCGCTGCCGTTTTCCATCTGTAATTTTGCGAAACATACGCTACGGCCCAGAATCCATCAATGGTTAATTTTATAGAAGGAGGGCCGCCCGGCGTAGAGCAGTAATCTGCTTTGGAATTACTTTAAACCGGCGTCCTTGAAAATTCAAGTACGCTGCAGCGTTGGGGTTGCAGTTCAATAACGGGGTACGCGTCGTTTCGTACGCGATGATTTGTATTCCCCCTTTATAAATCTCTTTTTAATGTGCACGATAAAGGCAAATTAATTGTAAAATGTAAGAAATAATTCAGTTTTGCAGTTACAAATGAATGACGTTATGTATAGAGTAAATAATTAAATTATATCAGTAAACAATTATTTGCGAAATGGTAACGATAATTCGTTCGAGTGCTGGCGAAATTAATATGCATAAGTGGTATCTATACGTAAACGCGTATCGAAATGAATATATTATAACGTCGCAACGATCCTTGGCGAATACATCAGATGAAGAAAGTAGCTTTTATCGAATCTCTTTCAAGAAACCAATCTCGAATCGGCGCGTTCTTCGAATCATCCGATTCGATTGTTTCATTCCGACGTATACGACAAAGAAACTGTCGACAATTTTAGAGAAGGCGCGCGCACACACACACACGTGTACACACTTGTACATTGTACTTTCTGTATGTATATATCCGTGGGGGTGAGTGCGAAGGGTTGCGTGGGGCCGCCGGCGGAAGGGTGGCGATGATGCTGAAAAGAGACAGAGAGCATTCCGATTGGCCCATTGTGGTACAGCGGAGCGACAATGCCGGCAATTGGCCGTCGCTCGACAAAACCGCTAAATGATCCGCCGCGGCGCACAGTGGTGCCACGGCCACTTTATTTCAATCTAGGAAATCCTCCGGCGCCCCCTCGCGCCCCACCCCCCCCCTCCCCTCCCCCACACCCCCCACCCACTCACGCGCCGATTCCAGATGCGAAATTACCCCATTTTTCGGTATTAACGGCTGGCCGATGTATCGACGATCGGGCGCGTATGGTAATGCAATCGCGAGTCGTTTCTAACGTTTCCTACACCCCGGCAGATTTGCCACCGCCGGACACTCTGATGGAATTTTTATAAGCCACCATGGACATTGCGATTTTCACGAATTATTTCCACTGCATTAAATCTGCGTTGAGAAGACTTCTTTTTTTTTTTAAAGAACAATGTATTATAGTGCAAGAGTTTGCGGGAATCTTTCTTTTTTAAAAAAGAAAGCGTTAATTAAAAAACATTTAGTCAAGAGTTTAACAGAGAGATTTAGGGAAGGTCAATTAGTAGAGCACTTTTTAAATTCGACGTAGATCCGCGTACAGACTGCGGATACACTGCCGATTTCTATGGTAAACGGTCCGGGAGATTAACGGGGTAGAGTTATGGAAACGCGTCGGCGTTGCAAACTTTCGAGTTCACGGTGGGTCGCTTAAATGACGCAAGGTTTGCGAGCACTTAAGCGTTAGAGGCTATTCAGGAACGATTAAATAATTAACAGCAATTAGGCAATTGAATTTCCTGCCTCTCCCGTCTCGCAACGCTGACCTCTTTCCCCCGCCTCAACGTTATTCCTCTCTTCTCTTCCTTGATGCCACTTTCTTCTCCCCGGTGCACCCTCGATTTTCTCACGTTGCCTTGATTTTAATCCGCAATCCGGCCGAACTAACTCGCTAATTTGTCTCGATCCAACGCTCTGCCGTAAGTTATAATTTCAGTCGGTATTTTCAAGTAAGTTATAATTAACGTCGTCGCGTGTACGATAAATCGTATAATCTTTGTAGTCCCAGTCGCGCACCTTCCACGAAAAGACGTATTAGATCTCAATTTTGCACCGTTAATAAATTTAATCTTCTATTAAACGGATAATTAACTAAAGACTCTCGATATTGAAATTAACAAGTGACAAGGAAACCGCTGAAAAGCTTCGAAAGTCAAACGCTGTTAGCTGTGCGTGAATTATGCAGCATTCCAATCGCTACAATTTGCAACTTTATATTGAATTTTTAATTGAACGTTACGTAACTCAAAACACACAGCTAATCGCGTTCGATTCTCATTTGATTCTCACTTTTGCCTTGTTACTTGATTCATTTTAAACTTTTATATTACTTATAATATTATGTAAAGCAGCTAAATAGCGTATGCTTAAATATTCATCATCTGTCTATCTAAATTTATTCGTGGCCAGGTTTTTTCACATATTTAAATATACATTTCTTATACTTTATACATGTACATACACGATACGGAGTTTTCTTTTTGAGAATAGAGATTTAATGGTCTCTCTTTACCCCTCTCTCTCTCCTCTTTCTCTTTCTCTCTCGCTTTCCCTCTTTCACTGCCTCTTCTGGTACCCGCGAAAATTCGGAACAGCTCGGGTGGAAAGCGAAAGTATTTATACGGCAACCGGACCAGCGATAGGGTCGTCAGGGGTAGACGAGAATAGAGCCGGAGGCAGGGGTTGCTAGTACTCAGGGGTACGAAGGAAATCAGGATAATTGTTAACAATTAGCTTAATCAACCTCGAGAGCAAGCTTTTGTTGTTGGCCGCTCTGATACGAGCATCTGGGGTTCTCATGGGCTTCCCTTTCCTGCTAATTTTGGATCTTTATGACGAATATCCTAGTATTCCGATAATTCGCAATCAATAGAGATCACAAATCGCCCCTTAACAGCTCCATTGGATAGATTGAGATTTAATATTTTCTTTAATGTTACATATAACAAATGACTTTACAATGATTGCATAATATTTTCAATGCCTATTAGTCTAATGAGATCGTGTTGAATGTTTGTCCTACGAAGTGTTACTGTTTGTTGTGCAGGTGTGGTTTCAAAATCGACGTGCAAAATGGCGCAAGAAGGAAAAGGCCTTAGGCAGAGACACGAGTTTCATGCACGTCGAGCAAGGAGGTGAGACTAAGAAAAGTATTAATTTAAATTGCTCGCAGAGACAATATATCCATTATTTTTGCATGACAACGAAACAGGAAACTTTTAAGAAAAACTGCGATTGTTATTATATACAGGGCTTTATCACTTGTCACGTCGCCGTACCTGAGCGCGCGAAATCTCAGGCCTGTCATTTGTGAAATATAATCGCTTTTTATGTAAAAACTATTACAGCCTCGACATTTCAGTATTAGAACTTTCGTCTTGAAATTTTCTAAATAATCCACGATTAAAAGGATATCCGGTGGTTTTAGTGCACCCTGTATATATTTTATTTTACAAAATTGTTCTCAAGCTTTTCAGAAGAATAGAAAAATATTTCTGTGAATTAGAAATCAGTTCGTATTTTTCTGTTCCTTTTGTCGCAAGAGTGGATTAATTCCCTGTCTCTTTATTTTCTTCTTCTTTCTTCTAATAGTAAAGTAATCGCGAAAGCTCGTTTTTATCCATCCCCGTTTTATTGCTCCCTTGCTTTGCAGTAATATAGTAACACGTGTGTTACGCTCGCTAATATGTGCAGGAGAGGACGATAGGGCGCAAGTTATAAAGGGTAGATGCAATCGGCGACAATTACGTCTAATTTTAGTGTCGGTCGTCGCAGCCATCACGTGCGAATGATATAGAATAGAAACCTGGTCGATTATTTTTTCATGAGACGCTCTGCGGATAAAGCTTGTACATCGAATACGGGTGATCTTAACAGGGAAAAATATCTAATGACTTTAACACTGTAATATTTCTATACACACAATCATACACATAGTTTTATTAACTGTACCTTCAATCGCGTACCGAGAAAACTTCTAAATGTTTCTTCTGTGTTAACGCGCAGTGTTTGCATTACGCTCTCTCTCTAAAGTCCCTTTTACACTCTTTCCGTCTTAAAGAAACCATGAAAGTGGAGTAAGAGCACGAATTTTCAAAGTTTCTAAAGCGCAGGTTGCTCTTGAATCGACGTCGATACAGTTTTCTCCGCGTGTCGGCATCTCACCAGTCAGAAACAGCGTCAAAGGAGTAAGCGAGCCCATCGAATCCTATTTACAGGTGTTAACGAGCTGTCCCTTCACGCGCGGCTGCTGCAAACGGCCAGCGGCGTCCCCGGCGCGGACTCGTCGGGTCCGCCGACGGGCGCGTTCCCCTGGTTCATACCTCCGGTTTTCCCGTCGCCCTGGCCACCGAGCGCGCCCAAGCTGCCGCCGTTGCACGCCCTCCTGTCGCAATACATCGGCCTGCCGTTGCCGCAGAACCTGGCGTCGCTCGGCACGATGCTCCCGGTCGGCCTGAATCCGAGCTCGTCGCTGAACCACAGCAACGTGAACGGCCACACCCTGGGCGGCCACTTGCACGGGCATCCCCTGAACCTCGGGGTGCAGAGCATACCGCAGAACCTGAGCTCGAAGAACGACAGGGAGGAGGACTCGGCGTCGTCCGACGACGAGATCAGGAAGCAGAGCGCGGAAGTGCTGAGAGTGAAGGCGGAAGAGGCGTTACGCAAGGCGGACAATTAACTGTGAGAGCTTACGGATTTTTGTAAATACGAAGGACCTGCTCGGTTCACCCGAGAGCCGTTTGATACCAACGTAAAAATATTTCGTTCGGCCGTCAACACCCGCGAACCTATAGTATCCTGTATGCGTCGGAAGATTATTTCGTTTGTCAGGCTGCAAGAGTACGGATTCGTGTCGTTCGTGCAATTCGGTAGGTATTTTAATACGCGATGCGTCCCGGAAGGAAACGCTCTCGCCAATGGATTCTAAAGTTAAGAAAAATAAAGACTCTACCCCGCGACAAAGAATCCGTTAGTGAATTATTTTTGCATTTTCTCCCGGGATTCTCTGTAGAATCTGGATCTAGGATTCGAGTAGTGTGTATTCGAGTAGAAAGCAGAGACAACATTTGATACACAGTTGGATATTTGTTGTGACGTGTCGGTGGTATTGTTAATTTTCAACACATTCGATCGGCAGTGTAGTCCAATCGATAGATCGTTGAATGACGTACACAGCTTCAGCGCCAATTAGATATTCACGTAAGACGCAATAATAAGTTTACCAGTCATTGATCAATAATTAGTTGCTGACTGAATATACGCAGACTTTTCGTCTAGAATCATAGAGACTCGAGGATCGCAAATTGGTTTATTTGAATGTGTTCTTAAACAAAAAAGCGAACTTGAAACGGCAAAAACGAAAATGTATGATTTTGAATAACACAACAATGTGACAGAGACTTTAAATGGAACAAATGGGGTGGAATTTCTCCTATTCAGAAATATTTAGCAAAAGTAATAGAGAAGAATTTATATTATTTTCTAATAAACAGAAAATAAATATTTTACTCATAAATTATTTTTTAATATATTAATATATGACATCTATTTATTAATTATGTTTCAATATACAAAATAATATTATTTATCATGAAGTGAACAAAAGGTACATGCAAATAATAAAATATTTCGGAAAACAGCTGGCAGCTTATGAGGAGACACTTGATTGCTTATTTTTACTCGCGTTGCAGCGAAACATCGAAATGAGATTTAACAGATAGCAATGCATATAGCGCAACCATTCATTATTATATGGGTTATACACTACTATTTGCGTCGTAATTATTTAGCACTCTGCTCGAGTTGTTATTCGACGGCGACACGTAACAATCTATTTCATCGATGTCAAAAGCTGATTACGTTTCTCTGCGCGAATCAACATGTAAGGGCTGATCAGGCTATAATTGCTGCAGACTGGGCAAATTATAACACCGAATATTACTCAATAATGAATAATTCATAAATTTGTTTTATTTGTATTCCTTTAAAAAAATATATAAAAATTGTATCATATTCATCCTGTGTCACAACTGCCTTATCCCGTATGTAAAAAGGATAGGCGAGTGCAGTCGCGTAGGATTTCTTCAAGAATTGAAAGATCAAGTGCCGTACAGGATCGCCGGTGTACGTATTAGGTGAAGAGAGAGAGAGAGAGAGAGAGAGAGAGAGAGAGAGAGAGAGAGAGAGAGAGAGTGTGTGTGTGTGTGTGTGTGTGTGTGTGTGTGTGTGTGTGTGTGTGTGTGTGTGTCCGCGCGCGTGTGTGTAAGGAAGTTTTGTAAAATACATGTATCATATGAACATTAGATATATATTATGTATACATATGTAACATATATATTAGCATAGACTTTGTGTAAATATGTAGGCTATCCATTAAGTTAAAGAAATAAACCTACGAAGAACCACGCAGAACTGTATTTCTTTCGAAGCTAATCGTCTGCCAACGCAACGTTGACAGCTGGCCTCGGAAACGATCTTTCATCGTACGGGATAAGAAATGAGTATAAAACGATTGAGATAGGTTATTGATTAATTAATTATTTATCAGAATTGGTGCGATGTTTTTAATAAATCGGAAGGAAATTAAGTGGGCATATTTGGATTAATAAAGATGACGAATTTGGGGGCTAGTGACAGAGAAAGGCTGATGAGAAAGTTGCGAGTGGAGTGCTTGGAAGCGCTCAGAAACGCCGCCGATCATTTCTCAATATCCATGCATACATTCTCGAGTGTCTCTATATAACAGTCTTTACTAGCGTGTCACGATTAATAAGCCGCAGGTGCCTCAGCCCGACTCTTTCGCACCAGTCGATTCGGGCTTCACAACTACCCTAATCCGGCCTGTCCGAGGGCAATTCACACGGGGGCGAGCTAGAAAATCGCTTCCGCGTCATTAATCATGAAAAGATTTGGCGTATTGGCCGCGTCATTACGACGATTTCCTGAATTCCGCGCAGCTGGCGGTGGCCCCGCACGTACCCCCGGATTCCCACGGGCCCCAAAGCGCCGACTGTGTCGCGCGCGTTTAATCGCTCACCCCCGCCTTCTGCTCCCTCCCCCATCCACGGGTCCGTTCACCCTCTCCGTTTCACCCCGGGCTCCACGTTTTCCGTCGTCGAAAGTGAATTTCGCCGGTCGTGGGCGGGATCGAGCGCATCCCGGCGTGAACGCTGGTAACACGCACAACGGCAATTACAATCCGGCCAATTTATCCGCGTTATCAGAAATTTATCTGTCGCAAAGGGGCGAAGGCCGCACGACGAACGCGAGAGTTAACGTTATCGCCTGGCGTTATCGCACGGGAAGGTAATTATTGCACCACCTGCTTGGACGCGCGATCCGCGTGGGCTCGATAGAACACACAGATAACGCGGCTGGGTGAATGATATTTTCTTTCGAAGCTATTTTACCAAGGCTCGGAGAAATTTTACTCGCGGTTACTTGATAGTTTCCTTTTAGTAATTTTTGAAATTAAGGAATAAAAAAATATATAAATAAATTGTATGCTTTATAACGTTGACACAGGAAAACGCAAATGGCACCGACAGGTTGTCGCGACGAGTAGGTGCCCACCTGCGCGGGTTTTTTTGGGCGGAGAAACTTAGAATGGCGAACTCGAGAAGCTGCGCAGACATTTTGTATCGCTACATTAGATGAAGTGCGCGCACGCTTTCGAAATGCCCCGCTTACGTTTTAGCTCAACGACCGCGTCGCATAATGCCGCAAAGTTCCGCTAAATGGAACCACTAGAAGAAGGAGAAAGAAAGAGCTCGCGGTCCACTTCGCCCCGATTTCGTCCGCCAGACGGTATTGCTGAATTTCGGCTTCGGTTCTCACGAACTCGCGGCGTCTTTAGGGTATTCGACGCGAATGTGCGAGCCTTTTTTGCAGGGAAAAGGTAGAAAAACACAGTGCATACTAAAGAGCACCAACCAACTCCATAATACTAGATAGATATTTTTGAAGAAAGGATCTAATATCTTTTCGTTTTTTACATGGTAAATTAATCTCGAAATACTTAGTCTAATTCATCCATTCTGAATGCTGACAAGCTCGCGTTTTTTTTCTTTGGGTAAATCGCGAGTCAATATATATATTTTTTTTTTGAAATATGCGTCAGACACGCATAATTGCGCTCGCGCTCCCCAAGACGGGGAGAAAAATGTTCTGATTTTAAGCGCTCGTGCTCAACCGATTTCCACTAGCCGTTTCTCGCTTTTTTATGAAATGCTACAGCATAGATGAAGGATCACAGTTGAATACCACTGATCGCGATCGCGGTTGTTACGAAGGACAATTAGATTAAAAGCAGCGCCTCTCGCAGCGGCTTGAGATCCATTAGTGCCTATTGTGCCACCCCATTTACACCCCCACCGACCATCCCCCATTGCTCCATGCCCTCCTCTCCGGAACAGAGCACCCGTCTCGAAGCCAGGTACTTATTCTCAATAGTAATATGCTCACTTCATATTTCTACCTCTTCGTCCTTCAACGCTTCTGTCTGCATCACCCGACGGAGCCTCTCCTCTTCCACCTCCCGTTCTTCTTTTGCGTTTCTTGGCGGCAGTAAAAATCGCTGGCAGCGATGCCGTTTAAAAAAATTTTCCCCGTCTTGCAAAAATTATCGCGATAACACACGTGCGAAACCACGATGTTAACGACGTAGCTGACAAATGCCTTCTATTAACCCATCTATCGTGATAAAAGCCGTGATAAAAGTCTATTACATCGCAATCATTGATCTTTCCTATCGACATAATTGCGTATCCGTCAACTAATTGCTGTTTAAATCTCTCGCTTGTTCAATACAATATCGTGCAATAAAATTATGTAATAAAACATTAGATAAAGAATTGGACTCATAAAGTAATCTTCTCGTGCTATGAAACTTGGAACGATAATTCCAAAGACGATACTCAAGATAAAATTGCACAACACATAGTTGCGCATTTTTAATAAGCTATATATTAGTTTCTTATTAAAAAACATATACAACGATTCATAAATGATGTAAATTAAAAATCTTATTTCTAATTTAACGTACTATTCGTAATAAAGTTGTACACACACAGTGGGCAGTTTTATTTAATCCACATCATGTTCAATAAAACTGTCGTATCCATCAACTAAATGCTGTTTAAATCTTTCACTTGTTCAATATAATATCGTGCAATAAAATTATCTAATAAAAAGTCAGATAAAGAATTGGACTCATAAAGTAATCTTATCGTGCTATGAAACTTTGAAACAATTCCAAAGACGACATTCAAGATAAAATATTTACATGCAATAAAATTGCACAACACATAATTGCGCATTTTTAATTAAGCTGTATATTATTTTCTTATTAAAAAGACATATACGATTCATATAGATGATGTAAATTAAAAAGTCTTATTTCTAATTTAACGTAATATTCGTAATGAAGTTGCACACACATGTGTGGACAGTTTGATTTAATAAAGCTACAATTTTACATATTAATTTGTAGAATTTAACGTGTAACACGATATCTTTCCGATTTGATATTCTGTCCATGTAAACATTACAGCAAACATTATTATGGTTTCTACATGAACTTCGTATAAATGATTCGTGCAAAACCACAGACTAATTTGGGTGTAAAGTCGAAATAATATTCCTAAGCACGCGCATATAATACACCCGCGATAGCTGATGCTACCGCAATGGTTTTACATAGGTGGAGATATAATGCTTAGAATCGCACACGAAACGTTGTGATTTTTTTCGGCGCTAATAATTCGTTGAGTGTCATTATCCGGAATTAACGTTGCTTCCGCGAAATAATAATCGCTCTTGTGCGAGCACGGCCGAACTGCCGTGGCAGGATTCATTTCAAATGTTGAAGCGTACAAGTGAATTTCTGCTTAGTTTTGTAGCGCCAATGTTCATCTGTTTAACGTTCCGTTAATTCACGATGTAATTAATCGATAAGTATATTTCAATTGACTAATTCCATTCATGCTATATTGTTTCCGGATATAATGTTAGCCGATAGCCGATTCGACGATAGTTTCTTTATGCAGGGTACCTTCTCTTATATAATAAATATAATAAGAACACAGTAATATCGACACAAATAATCGCGTTCAACAAATTATTATCATTCTCACACGATAAGAACGTGATAATTGGCATAAGGTACATATTTTCATATGGTCGTTTATGTTTATGAAGCGTTAAGAGCTGAGCTATGTTCGAAATTAACCGGTTCGGGGATCCCCTTCGTTTCAAAATCATCCTAATTTGCAGCGAGGAACGCGAACTCCCCGCTGCGAGTCGGAAGGTACGTCCCGCGATCCTTGCCGGCGAAAGCTCCAGGACCTTCGGAAACCTCTCTTGTTCACACGTTGTGAAACTGGGTGTATGGTTATGCTTAAAAATTAGTGTCGTTATGACGCCGCGCCCGGACTCTGTACGCGCACATTAGGTGTACACACTTCATTAAGGCCATTAGGGGGCAT